CGTGTGGGTGCGTGCGTGCGTGCGTGTGTGTGTGTGTATCTGCGATAACTCAAAAAATACTAATGGAAGACTTCCCAAATTTGGCAGTTAAGATTGTCAACAACATTTTAGGTGACACATTAAATTTGGTGAATGTGGTACCACCAGAAGAGACATAATGAATGAAAGAAGAAAAAAGCTACAATTTCGGGGAAAAGAAATTAAAAATTTTTATTGCGTTTCCGGACGAATGTCGACGAATTATAATGAAAAAACATAACTTTATGGAAAAAAATCTGTTTGCATGTATGTAGTATCGCGATAGCAACCACAGTTTTTAAGATAAAGATTTCAAATTTGGTACATTTGTTCTAAAGGCCAAAGACAATGAAAAAATTCGGTGATGTGCAAAATTGGTCAGCTGAAAGGGGGTCCACTGGACCCAAACTTTTTTTTATTTGACTACAAAAAAAATATATATTTTTGATGAAAGATTTTAAATCATGTCTACTATATCAGGCGAATAAAATATATTTTCCAAGCTGATGTAAAACTGAAATTTTGTACGAATTTGCCCTCATAAAATGGGGTTAGGATAAATCTGGCAGTTTGGCATTTGAAATATCTAATTTAGTTACAAAAATGTCAATGTCAATAAGAAAAACTATTAAAATATATGACATGCATTATTATTGACAGTATCGAGGGACGCTGTAATTAATTATTAAAAAATTTTTATGAAACATTTCAAGGTACGTTCTTAAAATTTAATTGAGGTAAGTGACGAATTAAACAAAATGATTTTTTTTAGATCAGGATGATATACATATACTGATATAAGAAAGTTATGTGCTGGCCACATCAGATATTTTCGTAAAATATTTGGGGTGGTATTACTTAATGTTTTTGACTCAGAATTTTATGCTGTTATCGAAAAACCTAAAATATATAGGGTGTTCCATTTATAATAAGCAAGTTGGTAATAACTTTCGGTATAACCGGAAGTACCAGATGCTTGTAATTATTTTAGTTGGATAGGTCACACTGCCGTTAGTAGCTCCTTAAATTTTCAAAATTTTCTGGTGCGTACATTTTCCTATATCGATCGATGCAGTTCCTGGTGAGACACCCTGTATAATGCTGTCAACGAAGCGCCCATGCAGATCTTCATGTCCCTGTCTTCTCGCTTTTTTCAGAATACCGTAATCATGTTTAGCGCATTTATTATCCCTCCTCGTAATGTCTACCCCTTGATGGCTCAACGACATCATAATTCATTGAAAACATTTTAAGGCCGTTAAGACCTATAGGAAAACTAATTAATCAAAGCAGATTAAAAAAGTTTTTAAGATTGTTTCAGCTAAAGTATTATGTGTTCCTTGGGTGGATTAAACTCAAGGTTTCTGGAGAAAGGCAAATAAATTATTCCATTAAATCGTGGCGTAATTATGAGTGACTCGAGGAAATACTGTTTCTAATTTCTGTTGTTGGAGACATTACAACTTTTACGCACATTTGTTCATGATAAAGTTTGGGAAAATATCGCGTAGTTTAAAATGCAGTGGTGATGCGAATTATCTCTCGGACAAAGTTGTATAAAGGATTCCTTATTTTACGAGTTTCCATATAATGTAATTATCGTGGCTATTCTTCCATACAAATGAATACGTCAATATTAATAATACGTGTGGTCCGATTCTGTGATTTCTTTAATTTGTGGGCTGCCGAAAAGCACGAACAATACATTAACAGAAATGGCGATTTCATTATTAAGAGAAGAAAAAGAAGAATACGCCGACGATGTTTAGAAAAAAATATATTGCATATTTTTTAACTTATTTTTGTAATATTTGTATTTGATTATAAAACTTAAACCATATGTTTAATGAATTTTCATCATATGTATTTACTTTGACTATCTTTCCTTCTTCCATACATATATACATGTAATATTTCAACATTTGAAATACAGGGTGTTACAGCAAATTGGGTGAAGCACCTCTTCCAGTTGTTCGGGGAGTGTTTCTTCTAGGAAGATTGCACAATCATGCCCATTGAGGCGAAGTGGGAGAAGGTACTATTAAGAAATTATTAATGATCTCAGCCCACACATTAATGGAAAACAACTCTTGGTAGTGATAGACTTTGAGGGAGTGAGAAATATCCTTGGTTTGAACAGATCTAACTGTTTCAATTATGAAAAAAGTTCATTTCGAGTAAAACAGCCTTCACCTGTAAAGACCACATTGCTCGAAAACATGAGATTATGCACATTCTACTCAATAAACCATCGGGCAAATTCTAGGCGCCTTGGAAAAGCATTACACTTTTTGCAATTTAAATGCGTGTTCGAGGTCATCATGTAGTATGCGCCATACGGAAGGAAGGGAAGTGTGTAACGCATGTGAAACAGCACGAGTACTTATTGCGGGATTTTCTCTAACCATTTCCAGAATCAGGTCCTCAAATTCATCAGCACGAACGTAGCGTCGACGACCAGTGTCGTGTTTGTAGGGAGCAAGTGACAGTTTCTCGTAAGCATCCATCAACACCAAAAAGCGTTCTCTGATTTGGAAATCTACGATTTGGATAGGTTAGGTCTGTTGTGAGTGGGTCTCAGTAGACCCTCCACTGCGGCCATCAACAGGCCTATTGTGGCTCACGCCTAATTATATTTCACCCAATAAGTTCAGTCTCTTAATGAAACTGATAACTTTATTGGGTGAGAATGTGTCCAGAGCCTCTGGCAGCAGTTGCCTTTTGCCAAATATTGAGAATCGGATTCTCTCCACAGCGGGACAGGTGCATAAGATGTGGTCTGCCTTCTCATCATCCTCCAGGCATAGACGGTACTTGGCGTTTTCCGCTAGGCCGAGTTTATGCAGATGATAGTTTAGTCGGCAGTGCCCGGTATATAGGCCTGTTAGAGTTTTCAGGTTTACCTTGTTTAACTCTAAAAGTTTCTTAGCTCTTGATTTCAAAGGGTATTTTATAAACGCCTTCGAATGAACTAATCCTGGTAACTCTTGCCAATATTGGAGAGTTTGCCTTTCAGCCCAGGTTGAGATAGCCATCTTGGCAGTACTTGAGGATATGCCAAGTATTGGTTCTGGTCCGATGAATCGTGATCCCGCTCCTTCTCTGGCTAAAGAGTCCGCTATTTCGTTACCTTCCATACCAGAGTGGCCGGGTATCCAGACCAGAGTCACTTTGTTGTTCTTGCTCAAATGATTTAGAGCTTTCTGACAGTTCCATACCGTTTTGGAGTTACACCGGTAGGAGCCAAGAGCTTTTATAGCTGCTTGGCTATCTGAGAACATTTTTATTGATCTGTGTGTAAGATACATTCCAGTCTTCGTACACACAGTTCAATGGCATGAACCTCAGCCTGAAAAACAGTTGCCAGAGTACCTAGGCTTGAGATTATCCTCACTGGTCTGTAGCTATGTACTCCGGCTCCTGTTCCCTCGGGAGTTTTGGAGCCGTCTGTAAACCAACAACTGTCTGCCTTCAGTAGGTCGGCTTTATTCTGATCCCACTCCTCTCTTTCTGGAAAAAGGATGTTGAAGGTCAGCTCGTAGTTGGTCATGGTAGGCATAGTAACCGAGGGCATTCCCAGGATGCTGTGATTCTCTATGTCATCCAACAATCTGTTCCGCTCCATGATACTAGTCTGTGGCATATTAATGGCCGCTTGTTGAGTCTGTAGGTTGCCCACCTGGCCTCTCTCTCCAAATATATATGAAGAGGGGGTAAATCCTGGAGGATTTCCATTGCAGCTGACGGTGTGGTGCTAATTGCTCCCGTTACGGTCATGCATGCTAATTTCTTCACCAGTTACTCACTGCATCCAGTATCTCTTGAAGGGTATTTGATATTACTCCAGGATTCAGAGTTTCCTCTGACTAGTATGACTAGATCATCTGCATATGCTAGAACCTCAACCTCTCAAAGAAAGGAAAAAAATAAAAAGGGGGGGGGGGGGGGGGGGCCCCCCCCCCCCTTTTCCAAGGGGAGGGGAACATTTCCGTTTTTTTAGGGTTTACAGACACTTTCCTTCACACACAGCTGATATGTAGAACTCACTCAAATAGCCAGTAGGTCTTCCACAAGAAGTGACCACAAAAGGGGAGAGAACCCCACCCTGCGGGCACCCTCTCGTGGCTCTAAACCTAACTGTTTCTCCCTGTAGAGACGTGTTTATGGTTCTGTTTGATAGCATAGCACGAATCCAGTCGCCTATAGTAGGCTCAATTCCTCTGGCAGCCACTGCTCTATATAAGGAGTCGGGCAGTGCATTACTAAATGCTCCCTCAATGTCGAGAAAGGCTCCCACCGCAATTTCCTTCATTTGAAGGGATTGGGTGATCTCCTCGACTAGGTTATTGAGTGCTAGTTCTGTTGATTTTCCTGTCAGATAGGCGTACTGATGGATATTGAGGGGGTGATGATTCAGGATATTCCCCCCTGATATATCCGTCCAGCACCTTCTCCAGGCGATTCGGATAACGTTATTCATAAATTCGCCATGCACGATTCAAGTTACCACCTGCTGCTCCATAAGAAGGTGCATATCCTCAAACTCCTCAAAAGTAAAGCGTTCCATCTCCTAAAGGGATTAAATTTGTAGATAAATAATAGGTTGTTAGCGATAGTAAAAAATTTGACTTCCCAACCTAACAAAACTAACCTGTTCGCGTTTTAACCGCATTCTATCGACTTTTGCATAAAATGCTGCCGACGCGTCTCCCGAAGGGCTTCCAATGTTCCGCCGGACATGGGCTATTGAAAAATGTTCGTCATTACCTCTTTATAATTTATAGTAAGTTCTGCACATTGTTCTGTAACACCCTGTATGTGTTTATACAACGAAGATCATAGTTAATTAAACACCACAGGTAATACGACCTTCTGTATCCCTGAAGGTACCTTGTGTGAGAGAGGTATACACATTTAGAGACAATGGACACATAACCAATGTCCTAGTATGCTAAGATTAATTTCTGGTTTAGAAAAAATGATAGTTCCTCGACCGGGGATCGAACTCGCGACTTCAGGATGAGAGGCAAGTGTCCTTAGTGTCCTTACCACTCGACCACGAAGCTATATAGAAGTTTATAATTTTACAAAAATAATTACGAAACTCTTTTTTACACAACAGCTTTCCCGACCATTCCCCCCGATAAATATTGCATTACATGGAAGAAACATGCACATTACGTTGTTCTTGTAGTTTCCACTGCACTATATCTATATAAAATAAGCAGTTTTACATTTTATTAATGTTATTAAATATTGTAGGGAATTTCTTTTTATATTTTTTGTAAATAACATTCCATCATTTTTATCTTTAACTAAAATCAGTGTTTGAGTGTGACGATTCATGCGGTATGTTTATACATTAATGCCCTCGGTTCTCATCCGAAGTTTGGGAAGTGGTAAACGTATTAAACTCCACGAATCTGACACCTATCCGGGCCATTAACATATACTCGAGTTATCAAAGCGTATCGTTCGATTATCGGTAGAAAATCATTCGAGTCGTTAGGCCACACTCTTTCCCTATTTCCGCATAACGCGTTCCCTTATCTTCTCACTACGGTTTATGTTTATGAGATTAAAACCATGTTAGAATAAGTACGTCAGCAGGTTTTATATTTTTATAAACTTTTACACAACAGTTTTATTTTAAAAAAATATTTTTTATGAAGAGAATACGCATATTTTAATTTGTCTATTCTAGACTGGGATTATTAAAATAAATGTGCGTATGACGAAACTTTAAAGATGATTCACCTACTTTTTAACAAACAAAGAAATTGTGTATTATTTGACTATATACAAATTTTTGCATGTCGTTTATAAATCGATATTACAACTAAAATAATCCTTATTCATGTTCTGCCTTCGAATAATTATTGTAGCTATAGGTATGACATTGTAATAGTACTAACACTGAAGTATCTTCCACTAGAGTTACCAACACGCGCTGCTATTCCGGTGCGTCGGACAGGGGTCAGGTAGAAGGTATGAATAGAACGAGTAACGAGTTCCACCTCGACATGTAAATGTAAATCTATACGCTGTACAAGGTAGACGATTTTATTTCGGATTTTATTTGGCGAATAACATTGTAGATGCAAAACGATCGTTTTCTTTATATAAAAACATTTATTCACCGCAACGTACACACCTCAAGAAAGTGACTGCAGAGACTTTGTAAATGTCGCAAATGTATAGTCGAGCCCATCCTCATTTTTTAACTTATGAACAGTAACATATATATTTCGTTTGCACATACATTCTTAGCCTACGGCAGCGCAATTCAGACTCTAGTTTAAACAAACACCAAAACACTCGTTGCGCTAAGCTAGCATCATCGAAAGATGATAAATAGTAGGAGACTAGTACTGATTCCACAGGAAGGTAATGTAAATCAAGAAATGACCTGTAAAACTTTTTCGATGAAAGACGTACTGTCTGAAAATGCTGTCCTATTGGCGCGACGTCATGAACCATAAAATCTCCCCGTGGTGAACGGTACGATACCTATATAGTTCATGCATTAATTAAGTACGGGTGATTGTTTCCTGAAATTATTTGAATATGCCCCGTCTCAGCTGCTGATATTGTAGTGTATATTTAAATGTGACTTGTTACAAAGTTTTAAACATGACTGAACAAGATTATTCCAAAGCTCAATAAGACAATTTACCGAAAGTTGATTCAATGACGATAGCACAGTTTTTTTTAAAAAGTGTTTTGTTTTCTTCTGCAGAAATTAGACGAATAAAAGCAAACAGGAACGTAAGTTTAATATCTATAGCTTGTATATTTTAACTAAATTAGGTTAGAAGAAGTTACGTTGGTAATAATGTTTGTACAACTAACTGAAGTAATAATAATAATAACGTTTATTTTTGCTCATATTAAATATCACAGTGATGAATAATATTTATCAACACAACTTTATTTTTATTTTTTACTTATCAACCGCAGACGGCCTTGGCTTTGCGGGTGTTTTGGTTTATTTATATGAATTGTATATAAAGTAAAAAGTAAAAATAAAGTTTTATTTATATACCAACACAATGCAACAACGTTATATTTAAAAAACCAGAAGCTTCCGCGGCTTGAGTTACCTAAGAAGTAAAATCACAATAAGCACACAAATTAATGGCTTCAAATAAAAATTGAGAATGTATTAGTTTATTAAAATAAAAATAAGCCCAAATAATATGTATTTCAATCACTCTGCATAAAAATTAAAATAATCTTTTGACTGTGGGCAAAACTGTAGCTAATACGAATTAAATCAACCCAATTCATAATGCCATTTTTCATGTGGTTTTCTGTTTGACCCTGTATAAAAATTAAATGCTGCAAGTCATTTAATTTTTATACAGGGTCAAACATCGAACTCGTCCAGTTACCAAGGAATTAATACCCCTAAATCCATATAAATGTTTTTTTTTGTAGAAAATTAGATGTACCTTGTTAACTATGTGTGAGAATTTTAAATACACTCTGTATGAAAGTACTTTTAGAAAAAGTTTGTTTTTTAAATAAAAGCTCTTTGAATTTGCTATTGAAATCCATTTAAAAATTAATATTAGGTAAAAAAGGAGTCTCACACAAAAGGGATAACAGGCAACTGTGTGTCCGATGATTTTCAGTAACACACAGTAGGTTCACACAAAATTCCACGATCAAAAATATCTTCTTTAGGGTCCCAGAATAACATAAAAAAATCAAAAAAATCGTTCGAAACCCAGAATTCCTCTTGTTATCCTGATATGCCTTTTACATAATACATATTTTGTTTTTTATTGCCTTTGCATATTTATTATTTTTTTAATTACTCACATAAAAAGAATCCATGCATACAAAAACGCAACTTTTTTTCGAAAACTTCTTTGGATCCCGTCTAATCACCTTTAATCACAATTTCTTACGTTTTTTGTTTTTTGGAACTTGGATAAATGTTTTTCCTGGTGTTTTTATTGAAGTATTTTTACACATCGGCCCGATACACCAGAAATATGATGATTTTGAGGAGTTGATCATTATACATATGTAATTACTTCACTTAAAATTTCACAACATTTACAACACAAAATATAACACCACCTGTATACATTTAACAACGTGTTTTGCCTGCTTTGTGTTCACTTGCACTATGATAGTTCCTGTACTGTGACATGACCCAATCGATCTGCCAGGCAGGCGGTATTTGAGCGCATAATAAATTAAAAAGTTGATTGAAGATGAAGTTACTTTGTGAAAATCCATTTTGATTTAAGAAATTATAAACACTTTTTATTACTTGTCTAATTTTCACTTTATTTGTTATTTTACAACTAGTTTCATCCTATTCGGACATTTTCAAGTAAACTAAATTATACACAGATTTTACTTTCATTTAAATATAAACTGAACTGAATAGAAGGATGGGTCACTTAATAACGAGTTTAAATCTATTACAAAATTTAAGCCCAAAAATACAATTAATAACTCCTTAGACTTAACAGTAAAATTAAACAGCCTAAATATTGACCGCAACTCTATAAAATTAGTATCGTTTGATGTGTCGAATATATTTCCTAATATACCCCCTTTTGAATGTCTTCCTTTAATGTCAAATATACTAAAAAAATGCAAATTTATTCCAGAATTAAAAAATGAAATACTGCAAACATTCAAGTTGTGTTTAGATCAAAATTATTTCCAATTTAATGAGGACATCTTTATACAAAAAACAGGGCTCCCTATGGGTTCGCCACTTAGCCCCTTTTATCCGATATATTCATGGATAATCTTGAAAAAATTATATTGGATTCTCCAATATCAAAAAAACATATTATCTTTTGGTACAGGTACGTTGATGACATCCTAATAAGTTTTAAAGGGACAGACAGACAATTAAAAATACTCTTCGATTTTATCAATAACACACATAATAATATATCTTTTACCTTGGAAACAGAGAACGATAATAAATCAATAAACTTTCTCGACTTAACTATAAAAAGACATTAAACATCAGTTTCCTATAATATTTACCGCAAACCAACTTTTACAGACGCCACTATACCCTTTAATTCCTATAACCCTCTCTCCCACAAATTCCGCCGCCAAAACATCTACAAAGAACCGAGCGGGCTTTTTACCACTCTCTGCGGAGGAGATTTAAAAGAAGAATTAGACACAATAAGACTTATAGCACATAATAACGGGTACCCTCAGAATATAATCAACAATCTAATCTACAAAAAAAAAAATAGGTCCCTCTTGAAAGAACTTTATCCCACTATTAACGAGAAGAAAGTTCAAACATACATTTCATTACCATATTCAGGTCAACTCTCCTATTCAATTAGCAATACTTTTTCCAAATTTAATGTTAAAACATTTTTTAGTTCTAACAAAAATATAGGCAGACATCTTTTCAATGCAGAACAAAAAACTGATATATCTAAATGTGGTGTATATCGGTTAGATTGCCCAGAATGTAATGCCTCGTATGTAGGTCAAACAGGTAGATCGTTCGGAGTAAGATTTAGAGAACATATTCACATACTAAAACAACATTCCAACTTTTATAAACATCTAACAGATTCTGGTCATACAATAACTGACGACCATCAACCAAAAATATTACGTATTTGTGGGAAAAGTAAAAAACTTAATTTATTAGAAGTGCTAGAAATTAATAAATTAAATAGGAATAAAAATTACAACATATTAAACGACCAAATAGATGTAAATAATTCTCCGTTATTAAACTTATTCAGATAACCTGCTGCTAATAAAAATCACACCATAATATAATTTACTATCTGGAAAAACCCCTACATTTAAAGACATAATATCTGTACAAATTTGAATTATATTATCAACCATAAAATGACCCATCCTGCTATTCAGTACAGTTTATATTTAAATGAAAGTAAAATATAAAGTAAAATATAATTTAGTTTAAAAACAAATTAAGTTCCTCTTCTTGATAAAAGTTAAAATATAGAGTGGAATGAAAAAATAATATTAACTGAAAACTTTTGTTAATTATTATTTACTAACTTTTTACAAATCTTATCACAGATAA